AAGCCCCCCTCCACGGCTTCGAAAACGGTCTCTCGACATGGCGAATATGGTGGCGGTTAAGATGGGGCCGGACGGCAACGCGGCGCTTTTCCTCCTCAGAGTGCGACCAAAGACAAGATGGCGCCCAGCACGAAGATAAAAAACGGCCTCGCGGCCGTCTTTGTCTCCCCCTTATATAGCCTCGGCGAACAGGCGCAATCCCCGCCTTTCCGGCTTGCTTTTTTTTTTTTCCCTCGGGTGAACCAACCGAAAGTTGCCCCGGACAGATTGATAGCTTCTGGAACCAATAGTTTTTCCGCCGGCAGGAGGGCAAAAAAGGCGGCCGGCCTCCAACCCCCGTGGCTGCCTCGTTAGTCCAATCGCGAGCCGCAATACAGAAAAGAGCGACAGTCTCTTTATGCAATAGGTGCTCGAGAATAAGGGATGAAGGATGCGAGAAGCCCCTTCACTTAGGTTTCCACTGATTGGATCGTTTGGTTAACAGAAGGCGGGGCTGGGTGATGAATGGGCGGGGGCCTAAATGGTGCGCATTGTCTTGCGGCGGATAGAGGCCACGTGGGTTGGCCTGGGTGAATGGACCTTTTGCTTACCTTGAGCATCCTCTCGCTCTTTCTACCCCCCCCATCCAATGTGGATATACTGTATTTCCTTGTTAGGAACATCCTTCATGGACAGGTTTAGTCTTAGATTTAGGTTTATCTTCCCCAGTTTGCTGTGTCAGCCACATGATTTAAATGCCAGGGAAAGGATAAGATGGGTTGAGCAAAAGAAACTGAAGGCGGGAGATAGGAGATACGGCTAACGCTCAGGCCCACCAGTGTGGTTCAGGCTATCTCACCATGCCGTTATCTCCTTGCAAGCTTGGCAACCTGGCTACCCGCTTCTGCCTTTTATGTAGCCTTGTGAGGCGTGTAGGGAAGGGTGGAGGCACAAGGCACAATTCACCTTTATGACATTGTGGTGGTGAAGAAGGGATGCTTAAGCAATAGCCCTCCCAGGTAGATGAGTCTTAGGCTCTGATCATAAACCTGATTCAAACTGCCGTATATCCCCATCCGGAAACACCAAACGGTAGTGGCTGATTTCGGTGTGAAAAACTGTTTGTTTTTGTTTAGCTTCTTTCCCTTGCAAGAATTTGAAACTGGCCCAGATTTGCAGTAAATATAGCCTCTCATGAGAAGTTGTCACATGCCAGCTTGAAGACGAAACTTACCTTTAAGGAGAACTGCCGATACATATAATGTTTATTTCTTGGCAGAATCAGGAAATATCTTTAGCCATTGTTGTCTGTTCTGAAAGGATGAATCCTGCCAAGTTTCAGATGATGAAATTTGAGGGGGTTATGCTATTATTCAACAACAACCCAAATAAATATTGATCTTCTGAGTAATGAAAAAGGCCCAATATGAAATGGTGAAAATAGCTCTGATTTCAGGAAAGGTTGTTTATTTACTTAATGTGTTTATTAGCATCCTGTAATATTCTTTATTTTCAACCCACTAGACCAGTGATGGCGTGTCAAAAATTCAGAAAATGCCTAACTTGACTCTGCTGGCGTGTCATCCACCCCAAACAAAAGGGAAACAATTCTTTACATATTCATTTATTTTTTAAAAATACAGTCCAATCATGGGTAGTGCTATGTATTATATAAAGAAACGTCAAATAATTACAACAATGAAATACGAGTAAAACAAACTCAATTTCTATCGTAACTCAGGGAGAATAGCTGTTGTTGCGTGTTGTTGAACGCTGGCATGTCATCCAAAACGTGTTGTGTCATCTTTGACATGTGTGTCATAGGTTCACCATCCACTGCACTACAGACTTTTGTATCAATCTATGGAAAGGCTTCAGTGTTGTGCCTGTCACTTGGTCTATGGCAGTGTTTCTCAAACTTGGCAACTAAGACCTGCGGACTTCCATTCCCAGAATTCCAAGACCTGTGGACTTCCACTCCCAGAATTCCCCAGAATGCTGTCTGGGGAATTCTGAGAGTAGAAGTCCATAGGTCTTAAAGTTGCCAAGTTTGAAAAGCACTGGTCTAAGGGAACAATCCCAGTTGGGTTGTCCACAGGGTATGGTCAAAAAGATCAAGGTGGCAGTTGCAGTGGGGCAATTGAAGCTCTGCCTGTTTTTACCTATGCATCACACCCTGTGAACTCCTCTGGACCTCCCGCATCACAACAGTTGAGCTTGAGACCCCTGCTTTTCAAAGCACAATAGCAACATTCATGAAGCATGCTAAAGCAATAAAAACGTGAAGCCATCTTATGGATTACCCAATTTCTGCCTCCTGTTTTAGAAAACACAATTTTCTTCCTGCCCTCTGAGTTTTTTTTAACAACATCCCTTTATAAAATCCACTTAGCCACACTTTGGCTTGCAGGTAACATTCCTATCGCTCCTAAGTATGTCCACATCGCCAGGGTATTCCTTTATCAATCCCTCAAGAGCAGGTTGAAGGTAACCCACAATCAAGTTTCTTCCACCAACGTTGTAAGGCTAAGAAGGAGAAGGAATCACTGCCCTGGCCTGAGCTGTCACAGATCTTGGAGGAACAAAAGTCCTCTTTGGGAGTACTTGTCATAATGGAGAAATAAAATAAATTGTTCACACTTTCTCCCCATCTACTTCCTGTTCTCTGCATTTGTCTAACCATGCAAAAAAAAAAAAAAAATCCTAGTGGTTTCTATGAGGGGAGAGTTGCAAAGCCATCACACCTCCTTTCTCTGCGAAGACCTGCTACGGTGCCTGAAGCCCAAAAATGGAGGCAACAAGAATTCCTACAGATGAGGAAACAGACTGTCAGCAAGTGCCCCTACAGCTACGAGTTTGCAATAAACTAGAATTGGGGTGGGGGGGAATCCCTGAGCTCTCAAAACCAGCCAACATTGTGTAGTTGTATGTTGAGAAGTGGTTCTGAAGAGGGGCAGGATCTTTCTGCGGAATAAGGGTGTCTGTAGGAAATTGTCAAAATGGTGGCCACAGTGTTCTGATCAGAAGTCTACCTGTTTTTTATCTTCATTGCATACGCAATGGGCAGAAAAAAACAGGCAGAGCTTTGATCAGAATGTCATGGCCGCCACCTTGACTTTTTTTTAAACATTCCTTGTAGATACTGTGGAAGTGTCTGTAGTTGGTCTTTAGGTAGACATGCATACTACATTCTGGGAATTTCTGTAGATAGAAATATTGAAAACGGAGGTTCACGGTTTTTGCATTTCTAGGACTGTGTGTAGGCTTCCCCCCCACACACTTTTTTTTATTTTCGTTGATATTCTGCCCTTTTTGTATCATCAACTTTCTCTGTTTCAATTTAATGAATCAATTTAAAATATTTCTTTCAAAGATCTGCACATGCTTTGGGGCACGAAGCAAAGCACCAAAAGCGGACTGCAGCAATTCTCACACCTTTGTTCAAGATAATTTCTTCGGTTATATATAATCTTGTATTTCTAGGTTACCTTGGCCAGATTTGTTATTTATTATCCTTCATTTACAGCATTTACCCACCACCAGCACCTTTTCTTAAAATGGGAGAGAGGGCATCTCCTCTCCTTTGGTCCCCACAGCAGCAGCCCTGTGAGCCAGGTGGGGCTGAAAACTAGCGACTGGCTCAAAGTCACCCGCAACCATCCTGGTCAAGGGAAAGTTGAACCTGAATTTCTAGTCTTCTCTGCAGTAGCCCCCGCTCTTTGGAACATCCTGTCCCCGGAGGTGCGATCGGCCCCCTCACTCCTGGCCTTCCGAAGGGCCTTGAAGACCTGGTTCTGCCACTTGGCCTGGGGTGGGGAGGGAATACCTCAAGCA